GCTAGATGGTGCGTGAAGCAATATTTTACGGGTCGCCATTGCAATATTTGGAAAAGGCATGAATGGATCATATTGTTAATATGATATATTTGGTTCCACCATAGAAACATTGCCCATCCTATTGTTCACCTACATTTCTTACTCGCTTTTCGGTCATTACATTATGTTTCATGAAGTGATTTGGATGTTTACTGAAATTGTAAGACATGCAGCCATGTCTTAAAAATGTATTTTCTCCTGTAGAGTAGCTGACAACGTATATTTTACTCAGATCATGCATGGAAACATCAGGTTCGGATGTATATATCTTAACACCTTCTTCCAAAGCTCTCTGTCCTTAGTTCCAATCTCCAGTAAAATTGACTGTGCTCTATGTAGTAGATAGAGCTAGTCTGGAGTAGAAATGAGTAGAATTGAGTGAGCGTGAAGCGTGATAGACCGTATGTAAATGGAATCTGATTGGTTCGGAAATTTTGATACAGCTAGAGGTATAAATATGAGGTACCTAGGCTCGTTGACGGCATTCTTATGATGGACTGTGGAGAGAGCAGACGACCAGCAAAGGACCATCAGTAGAAAGGATAGCGGCACAGAGGGAGCAGCAGATTCGTGGAACCGTGACCGAGGCTGGAAACCTCGGTCCAGTCACGACAATGGCGCAACTCGGTAAGTGAGAACCATCCTCTTTCTTGCGAGGATGCTACTGGCACTCCCTGAGAGGGCTGTTAAAATTCCTCTGAGAGGGTAGAAGAAATTCCTCCAAGAAGGTAGAAGAAATTCCTTCGAGAAGGTAGAAGACATTCCTCCGAGAAGGTAGATGAAATTCCTCCGGGATGGTAGAAGACATTCCTCCGAGAAGCTAGAAGAAATTCCTCCGAGAAGGTAGAGGACTTTCCTCCGACAAGGTACAAGAAATTCCTTCGAGAACGTAGAAGAAATTCCTCCGAGAAGGTAGAAGACATTCCTCCGAGAAGGTAAAAGACATTCCTCCGAGAAGGTAGATGAAATTCCTCCGGGAGGGTAGAAGAAATTCCTCTGACAAGGTAGAAGACATTCCTCCGAGAAGGTAGAAGACATTCCTCCGAGAAGGTAGAAGACTTTCCTCCGAGAAAATAGAAGAAATTCCTCCGAGAGGGTAGAAGACATTCCTCCGACAGGGTAGAAGAAATTCCCTCGAGAGGGTTGATTAAATGCCCCGAGAGGGTTGATAAATTGCCCCCAATCCTCAATTAAGGAGAGTAGAAAAGGGGAAGAATGTAGTAGATAGAGCTAGTGTGGAATAGAAATGAGTGGAATTGAGTGAGCGTGAAGCGTGAGAGACCGTATCATTGTTGCCATTGGGTCATTGCTATATATACATATATATATTTTTTTATTATTATTAATTTATTTGATAAGGCTCAACCAAATTAACTTTACAGAGCCGAGGATTCTTGTTTACTATACAATACATCTTAAAACTATAGTCAAAAGGTGCAACACACAAACATTTTATCTTCCGAAATCCAATAAGCCCCGTCTACCAGAACGGGAGCCGCTTCCAGTGGTTTACTTGTATGGCAAATTTGCCAACGAGGGTCAGAGCGCTTCCATTGTAGCAATGGACGCAAAACGTGGTCAGCACTCACACATTCATCACGAAACGGTTGCTTTGCAAAGTCGACGACGCATCGACTGAAAGAACTGCTGATGAAGAACAATGAGGAGGACCACACAATGGTTGCTGCCGAGTAAACAGACGATCGCGTGACACACATTGTGAGTGGTCTGCTTCTGTCGACAGCCGAATGAACACTCATTGCTATATTTAGAATAAACTCAAATCTATTTTAGAGTGATTTTTTATCGTCTGAATTTTTGATCGTGTGATCTCAAATTGTAACAAAATTTAGTGCTATTTATTTAGTTTAGATTTAAATTGAAAAAAAAATCAAAATTTGAAGAAAAATATGTTGGAACTGAAACTTCCGAACTCATCCCAATTCAGAACAAAATTTAAAAAGTGAAAATGCCCATTCAATTAGATGCATATTTTTGGAATAAAAAAACATACTGCATATCAGTTCCATATGGAAAAAGTAGGTTTTGAAAAAATGACATGTAAATATTTGAAAAATCATTGTAAATTTATTGATAATTGTTTCAAGTTAAAATCAGTTTCAATGAAGCTTGCATGTTTTGTAATCTCATCGAAAAATATGACCATTCGAAAATCAGAACTTCAATTTGAACTATCGACGATTATAAAGAGAGAGAGAATGATTAGTAATTTCCATTTGATTCCACTACCTTATTCGCTTATCCTTGACATATACGCGTATTTCGTCTACAATGTGCAGACTTCTTCAGTGTCTTGTACTAATACTCGACTGTACAGGTATTCCACTAAGATACCCACATTCATCAGGATTTATGGACGATTGAATTTCAGGATAGGACTTATATGCGAATATTTTGCTTGCCAACCTGGTTAAAATGTCATATTCAATTATCTTAAACATAAATCGTCCAGCTCAAACCTTTGTAGTGGTAAGAGGTGGGACCGTCATCATCATCATTGATGGGAAAAACTGACGATGTTGTTTTCACATTTTTCATGATCAAAGTTTGTAGTTCTATCACAAAATATGAAAGTAGATTTTCTGACAATTGGCTGATCAAGTTGTTGGAAGGAGATTCCTAACTGTCCCAAGGAAATTAATAGGTTATAGATTAGGTATTTATAAGTGTGTAGTGGATAACGTTGTTCTCAAAATTGATGAAAATTCATACGGGACATGCGATTAAAGATTGAACACGATAAAATCTGGACACATTAAAAACGCTTCCATTAAGCCTTTTTGAGTAACATCTAGTCTAGAATCACACTAGGCATTGGTTGTCAGGTTGTTTACATCATAGCTTCACCGGAGCAAGCACGGCGCGATTCGATACTTCACGCTCGACACGAAAATCCCGGACTATCCGCTCCTGCCAGTTTTCGATCAAATTCCTGGGTAAGAATTGTATACCTCGGTTGACCGGAATAGTGCCCCAGAAGAATGTTAAATAAAAAAACCAGTCGAAATTCCTTAAAAATTTCCTTGCCTGTCAAGCAATCTGCAGTTGTGGATTGAAAAGCAAAACTTTCGTTGCTTCTGGGCCATCAACCAGAAAACTTACCGCCTACGGAAGAGAATACTGCTTTTTCTGGAGCAGTATAAGTTCTATTTCGGTCGGACTTGAAGGGGAGATGAATACAGCTAATACTCCGGAACTAAGGCCAACTGAGGAATACTGGTCAATTGTGAAGCACATGCTGAAGAAAAAGGGTGGAACTGCAATTGACCTGAAGGATTTCAAGCGGCAGCCAAATAAGTGGGAACAGGGCTCGTGCAAATGATGATGGGCCGTGTACGAAGTAAAGTTCGAAAATGGCCTATGGTAAGAAGCAGTGATGGACTATGACTATGATCACTATGACTCGCGAACTTTTCCCTTGGTGAACTTCGTGAAATATCACGAACTTTTCCAACACTGGTAAGAAGGAAGACTGAAACAATGGTCTTACAATAAGCATAATGCCTACTAATGTATAGCTGTTCAAACTATGAAAACTAAAACTCATTTTTAAAACCTAACAAGTGTTGTGTCCGGATTTTTTCGCGTTCAAACTTCATAGGCAGCATAACTCCTGACGAATGACATACTTTACACCTTGGACGATCGTTTTGAAGGGTTAACCTTAATAAGCTGATTTTCAATATCGTCTCTTGTTGATCTATTAACATTGTTCGTACAACATATTCGGAACAACACAATATTTAAGAATGAATGGAATATGATACAAAAGTGGAAAATAATTTGACGATATATTTTCAAACATTAATGAACAAACCTAAACTTAATCCAAACCAATTCCTTAAAGTTAAACGTTAACGAAGCATCGCAAAAGTTAGCTCACTTACCTCTCACACAATCTTTGTACATTAGCTTTGTTCAGTCATGCGTTTTTACTTTGGTTTTTTTTTCAGTAATGGTAGTTCAGTAAGAGTAGAGGGTTTAGTTCAATTCAATCAAAGAGCAGTAGCAGGGAAAGGTATTTAATAAAATTAAAAGTATTATTGTTATTTTAAATCATTTTTTATTTATTTACATAAAATGTATCGTTTAGTCATTAAAAAATATATTCGTCATCATAGTACTCGCAGAACCAAAACATCCATCAACATTTTGGTTTGGCTACGCAAGAAGTATTTTGTTTCCGCCGATTTTCTTCAACTATATACACATTTATATTAAGTTGCGTGCTACACCTCGCACATGTGAGCTGCTGTTGTTTATGATTGTTTCAAGGATTTAGTTGGGTTGTTTTTGATCATCAAATCACTAGCCATCCGTAATGGAAGATTATCGTACATTAGTGGAAATGCCTTTACATATCATACACACAAATTGGTCGTTGGACGAATCTGTTCTCTCGTTTTATCTCTGTTTGTGGTCTCTCAGCGGGTTAGTTGAATAGATTTTACTCCTGTTCATGTAAACCGTTGTGGGATAGAATCCGAGTTATCCTGTTTTACTATAATCCATGCAGCAATGAACGAAAAACGTTTGGATCAGAAAAAAAAATCAAATTCCTTTATATACAAAAGAAAGGAGCGGGAGAACAGTCCAACGAGAGAGAAATCACAGCAGTAGATAGATTGGATGGATGGATGGATAGTTTAACGGCATGCTTCGTAATGATCATTTTTGGTTTTGTTTTACATTCGAGCGGTAAGTAGATTATTGAGATGAGTTCAAACGGTTAGTGTTACTTCAGGAGATCGACTATTAAGAGAGAAATGTTAGAGCTACAGAGCATGCCAATTCTAGAAGGTAGAAAATCTGGTACAGCTCATTGGAATACAAAGTTAAACAGGTGAGATAGCTTTTAGATCTGCAGGAGTGGTATTTGCAGCGGTAGTAGCAGTAATATCTTCTTTATCAGCACCATCAACGGGAGCGTCTGTAATTACCTCTGCCTTAGATGCGTCGATGTTCGTGTTGGAATCGATGGAATTTACGCTATCATCGACAGCAGGAGCTTCCTCGTCACTGGAATCAAGCTCGGTGTCACGCTTTGGTGCCTCAGTTGTCGGTTCCTTGGTGTCGGTTTCACCTTCTTCATCATTCTTGGTAGCTTCATCATCGTCCGATCCATTACGGTTTCCGGTGTCAACTGGCTTGTCGTCGGAGGCAGGTTTCTCAGTTTTGTCTTCCTCAGCTGGCTTGACATCGATAACGCGGACCTTGTAGATCGAAGTTCCATATCCGGTCTTCTTGGTGTAGTAGGTGTCGTTGATAATTACTTTGTGGCCATCGATGAACTGCAAATAAAAATGATAAACAAATTAACTGCGTCAATCGTTATCCCAATCAATTACCTTAACAGTTGACGTGCTATTGGTCTGGGCATCCTCAGAAGAGTCATCATCGGGAATCTCAATCGGCCAAACACCCGGTCCCGAATGGGAAAAGTCACTACCTCCATAGAATGGATTCCACGAGCCGGCCATCCGATCACGAAGACGCTTAATCAAATCTTCAACAGAATAAAGAGAAAAACAATGAAATAATTACCCTCGATATGTTTGCGCACACATCCGCGAACACTTATATAACACTCCAGTTAGCTAATAGCAATTAGAAATGAAGACGTTGAGTAACCGCAAAACTTCTGCTCGCGCACTCACTCACCGTCAAGGTAAGACGAGAATTGCCACGTGAACGGGTTGACTGACGGGAAGAACACCGGGCTCTGTCCCTGATGTGGGAAATCTTCCGTGTCCAACACACCATCGAAGCTATCGAAGCTGCTTGGGTAGCGATTATAGTAGGACGGCCTTTGATGCTCCAGGGGTACTACGATGAACTCCGCATCGTCCGATGGGTCGCTCTTGCTTTCGCTGCTTGCTGTTGAGTAGTTCAAAAAAAATAGCAAAAATTAGCACTACTGCGTCAGAAAGGTTTTCCCACTGAAGTCAAAGGTATCCAAAGAAAAGCAAAAATCGTTACACATCCCCGCTAATGAACACGTCAGACCACCCACAATGAGAGAACATCCCCATTCATAGGCAACTAGGTACATACATCGCAATAATAGAGGAACATCATGACGACGGTGACAGTCTGCAGATGATGACTCAATTGACGACGCAACGCAAAATAACGATGCCATTAGTGTAATGCAATGTAGGTATGTAGGTACCTACAAATATGTGGAAAGCGATTTCGTTTAGTCAAGTGACATCTATTTAGATACATTTTTTTGAATCGCTGGAACCATGCAGGTTATGTCGGCTCGAACGAAGCGTACGAATGTCATGCACTGCGCAGCGGGAAACATTTTTCCTAGATGATTTAGTTTGATAACAACAACAGAACCTCTGTACGATGGGTATTCACGTTAATGTTTTTTTTGTATTGCTGTTACAAATCGGTATGAAAGAGTTCGCCAACGATTATCATAGCATTTTTGTTCACGTCTAGACGGTGCTTTCATTTCGTACATCAATCCATGACTAAATGAGTACATTTTGTGCAATTACATGTAGCAAGGTAATTGATACTCTGACGTTTAGATTACGTAACACGATTTTAAACACAGTTGAAGCTCAGGGTTGCCACATTTAAATCTGTATTTTTTTGCGAAAAAATCTGCATACCAGTATCGCGAGGCAAAAAATCTGTATTAACTGATGACCTGAAACTTCATAGAAACATGTGTTTATGATGGAAATGTTAGTTTTTTAAAAATGTAAATGATTCATAGTTTACTTTTTCGAGCATATATAGTCAATTCTTTGGAAAAAATAGCATTACAAATGGCATCATGCTATGAATGCTATTAATAATTAGACACAATACGATGCAGGATGCTAATTTTTTTTCTGAACTGACTATAATTTTCAAACACTCAATGGTCCGTAGCAGAAAAATGCCTGAGAAAATGTGTGCAGTGGGGTTTACTAGCGAGCGACATTCACTTAATGGTCATATGATTTACCAAAGCGGGTTTCAAATGGATTTGGCACTTTTTGACATTCTGTGGCATAGTTTTGATAACAAGCTGGCCAATTTTCATCTAAACAACTTTAATCTAGTGAACATTGAATATCTAGATAGAGCTGGAATTAGGGCGTAACAGCTTTGGTAAACAATGACTTCTATCGACGATTTCTAGGAACTCAAGGTACATTCACTTAAACCAACATAACCGTCGGATAGGGGAAGTCTTCCTCTGTCCGATGGTGTTGTGATTTGCCTTGGCGAGCCTTAACTTCCTAGAAATCATCGAAAGAAGCCATTGTTTACAAAAGCTGTTACGCCCGAATTCTAGCTCTATCTAGATATGGTGGAAGAACGTCAGAATAATCAGACTAACATTACAGAAAATCGTAAGAAACAACCTGAATAAATGATATGATAAATTAGAACTTAAAGCGTTATATAATTCTTATCAACTCGGAAAAAATCGTTTGCGAAAAATCTGCAAAGATCATTCCGATATATATAAATTTTACAAATTTCTGGCTGCATCCTGATGTGTACATCCTACTCTAAGAGTACCCGCACCAATGCGTCGCTATTCGGGCTGCTAGTTTGACAACTTTTGCCATTGCTATTTTAGTTAGCAACTTGTTTACGCACCGGTCGTTGCTATCACGATTGTGAATTTACGTTTTCGGCTTTCGCACAGATGGTTGCTAAACTTATCGTCAAATTTCGAACTGAAATTTATCACATAGTTTCGTGATTGTATTTTTTCGACAATATTGATATACCTAAGCACGAAGACTGAATATTGAAGGTTAAGATCCAACTACAGACCTAGGTAGTCAAGAAATGGTTCTCCGGAAGATCGGAATAGCCCAAGATCTTAAGAGTAAGTTTCGACAGCTCCAGGGTAATCTAATAGATTCCTGGAAAATTTATTTCAGCGAAGATAAAGAGCTTTAATCTAATCTAATCTAATCTAATCTAATACAAACGCAGCCAGTACGAGAAAACATCCTGGAAAATGATTAGGTGAGATGAGGTCTAATCATTTTTCTTGTCTAATTGATGTTTACAGCATATCTGAGATATGATATAAACATCAATACGGCCAGGCCTACTGCGTTGTATTTGCCGCAAAGATGATTCTTGGAAATTAATGGGAACATTTCTTGAATCTACAGGGGTGGAAAGATGCGTGGACATACCGTACCAAACGCTCCGAGTTACTATGTGTAGTTGTGTGTAATGTGTAAATATTTGTACATTATTGAATAATCATAAAATAATGCAATGGAAGGATCTTACCGAATGTTCTCCTATGTTGGTAATGATTCTTTTGCGCTTAAAAGTTTCGTTTTGATTTCTTGCAAGAAAACCGCAGACGCAAAGACTATTAGACAGAAATTTGCACTTTTATCACACATTTTAAATAACTAGTTAAAAAAAACTTATTTGTCGATATGTAAAATATAAAGCACAGTAGATGTAATGAAACGATCTTACAATATGCCAACATTTTACCAAAAATGTGCTGCTTATACAAATTCTATTCTCCATCTGAAAATTTGTCGGATGCAAGATACTGGCACTAGAACGTCTCAAAATACTGCATAGCATTGCCGTGTCACTGATAAATCATGGTTTCTATTTTCTTCAAAAACACTCTCACTTGAACAAATCAAGACCAACAATTGAAAAGGCCTCAACTCACTTCTGTAAACAAACCTTGAAAGGCCATTTTCTCGCGAACCGACGTCCGCCAAGGCAAAACAACATAATGAACAGGTAGGGGAAATTCTCCTCTACCCGATTGTGGCTTAGGATTACGAATGTAGGTTTCGGTTCCCGAGAAAATGGCCTTAGAAGGCTTGTTCACAAAATGGATCTGAGGTCATTTCAATTGTTGATTTTGAAATGATACATAATACGCATCAACGACACGACACATATTTTCTCGATCTCTCATAGCAAATTGTCCGGCATACATCGTCGTGTTTTATGAATGATTTACGGAAAACTTTTGGAGACTTGGTGAAGCACTAAGTACTTCGTGGAATACTATCTGTAATGCCTTTAGTATGCCCTGATCATCGCATTTTTTTCTCGTTTTCACGCAGTTAAAACGACAATAATCAGATACAGATCCTCCACATTTCTGGTCTGCCAGATTCACTCCTGAACTCCTTTCAGTAATCGATGTTGTCTAAAAACACCGCAGGCAAATTTCGTTACCAGAACTATTCACAAACTTCAAAGTTTTCAAAGAATTACACAACCGAAAAAGTAATTTTAGACGGGAAACACTCGGGAAAGCTAAAGAAATTCGTGACATCGCAAGAAACTCAACCGTTCGCGAGCAGAACCTACTTCGATCTTTTTCTCAGCAAATATCAAGAGCTTCAGGGCAATTTTATGAAATTCAGGAAAATTTAAGCTTAAAGACCTATGAGTAAGTTACGTGAACTTCGAGTAAGTCCTGAAAATGTCAGGGCAGTTCCTTGAATATCAGGAAAACTGTGAGAACTTAAGGGACGTTCCTAAAACTTTAGCTGCGTTTCGAGGAACTTTATGGCAGTTTCATTTATTTCAGTTAAATAGAGGAAACCATCAAGAAGTTTCGAAAATTTAAGGGTAGTAAAAAAAAATCAGGGAATGAACTTAAAAACATTAAGAAAACTACACAGAAGATCCATGTTTAAGGGGAATTCAAAGGAATTCTGAAATATTTAAAAAAAAATTGCGATGCTTCAGAAACCATGCGAGGTCTTCAGAAAATTTAATAAATATGATTAAAAATTTCGGAACAATAGAAAAATTAATGAAATTCAGGAAAGATTCAAGACCTCAGGGAAGCCCAAATAAACCTAGGATTTTTACGCGACTGGACTACTTTTGTGGATGTTCAAAATCTTCCAAAAAATCACACCACTACCTGATTCTATATGCTAGTCCTAGATCCTAATGATACATGTAGCTTCAGAATACGTGAATCGTAAAGCTCTTGAATCTTTTTTATCACTTTAACGAATGATCCGGACATCCAGAAAGACCGGGTTGTGGCCAGTAGAGTTTGCATGCTTGTCCCAGATCCAAATTCATTAATGTAGCATCAAAATAAGTGATTTGAAAAAATACGGAGCTCTAGGATCTTTTCTACGAATTGGCCCCCTTTACGGAAGTTCCGGATTTTTTAAAGGACCGTTTCATGGTCCCCAGCGTGCACATACAGGTTTCAAATCCAAATTAGTTCATGCAGCATAACAACAAATTGATTAAAAAATCTAGATCCTTTTTTACTAAATTTTCCACATTTACGGATGTTCCGGGTCTTCCAGAGAAATGCTTTACTGTCGCTTTTGTCCACATTTTTGTCCCAAATCCAAATTAATTCATATATCACAATGTTCAAATGAAAAACAAAACAAACATTTCATAGATAGCAATGCTTGGGCAAGTTGCAATCGCGCTGCTATATTTGTCAACCCGCTGTTCACCGAAAGGCAGATTGTTATTTCCCGCACTTTAATAGTGCGGTTACTGCGTTATGGTGAAGGTTGCTAAAATAGCTTTAGCAACGCATTGGTGCGGGTGCTCTAATACGTGTTGTCAGTTTTTTTTATATATTTTGCGAGAAAACGAATTGTGTACAAGTGATGTACCGTGAGGGGACTTTCCTTAAGAAAACTGGTCAGCGTTGGAGCAGTACAAACCGCATTACGGAAGTATTAAGAATCATGCACTTTCGAAGATTCTCCGAGGGGTGGAAGAAAACCCTGCAATCGACCGGAAGGTAGAAGATCATTTTAAACAGCATCCATCAGCATCAGTGCAAGATGTGACGAAGAAGATCGGTACTTCGGCAACAAATGTCATGCGGGCCAAGAAAAGATTGGGATTGGAAATGGAAACCCATC